AAAATACGGACTCGATACCAATAAGATCAAACATTAACCAAATTCTTAAAACCATTATATTTTCAGTCTTTCAATTTTCATCAAAAATTCATTTCTCGAGCTAGGGACCTCGGAATTCAATTCCTGGCATATGCCCAGATCTCATATTTCGATACGGGCCCATCGGAATTGTCCAAACATGAGTCCGAGTTCGTTTACTCAAAACGTTGACCGAAGTCAACTAAATTAACTTTTAAAGGCAAAAATTATTATTTTCATCAACTTTCAATAAAAAGGCTTTCTAGAAACACGCTCGGACTTTACACGCAAATCGAGGGGGGAAATGAGATTTTAAAGAACTCGGAAAATAGAATCGAGTTCTAAAGCATAAGATGACCTTTTGGGTCATCACAATAGATATAAATAGATAGATAGATAGATAGATAGATAGATAGATTATGTTAGTCGCTCTAACATAAATGAAGAAATGACTATAACGAAATATCATTAACCGTTTGCTGGATTAACCCAAATTTATATAAAAATATTAAATACGGCAAAAGTTCACTTTTAAGATTTTTTTTCCACCATAGTCATATTATGTGAATTGGGTTTGAATAATTCCTACGTGGTGTAGGGAATTGTCACTAGGGCGATTCTATGCAGGGGATTCGGGGTGCCACACTACCCGGTCGCTCGAATAAAATTTTATATATGTATAGATATTTTACATAATAAAGCCTTTATAATCAGAGATTGGCACCCGAAGTCACAAATGGCTCAAGGTGCCATGGTTAAACTGTTGAGGCCCCACATAGAAGATGCATTATTGAACCTCGTTAGATGCACAATCCAGTATATTACCGTTTGTCCCTACTTTTTTTGCTTTTCTTTCTTTTCTTCCTGCTCCTTTAGTTAATTTCTTTTATCGGTTCATCTTTCTATTTCCTCTCCTTGTACAAGTTCATTTTTAATATTTATTGAATTATATATTTTGCTCCCTTTTTGTTCTAGATCTTCAATGTTTTATTTAAATGTGATTCTAGTTATTTTCTCTTATATCCATCTAATGACTAAGCTAGTTTTTTCTTGATTTTTAAATACTTTTAGAATGATGGCATCGATAGACATAATTCTAATCTAGCTATATGTAGACCAAAGGGGGTATTTACTAATTTAAAATTTTTATTTTATGTTTTAATTACATTGTTCGATAGAATTTGAATCACGGGAATTAGATCGAATTGGACAAACTTATTCAATTTAGTAATCACGTATTTATTTACGTACTAAAAGTGGATCGAACCAAGCCGAACCAAACCAAATTAATCCAAAATGGATTGAACTGACTAAATATACACCTTAATTTTAATCTACTTCACTAGCAATAAGTTTATATTAAATACAGTGACACCCGTAGTCATAAAATTCTGGATCCACCTTTGATTGTCACTTAATACTTTTTCAAATCTTTAAGATTTTGAAATCAATTAAAGTTTCAACAATTATTTACACTATATGAAAGCTCTGTTATTTACAAATATAAAATCGAGTAAGATTTACCTACATAAATCACTCTGCATAAATCACCATCAATATATCTAATATTTAGGAATACTTTTTTTTTCCTTATATAAAATGAACTCCTCCAACCATCACAAATCGTAATATGGTGTAGATAAACCAAAAAGTCTCCAAAATACTATCTTTCGCAACATTTTCACATTTTATTTCTTTTTTAAACTAATCAATTTTAACCACTTTCTTTTATTTTTATTTTATTTTACAAATTATTGTTGAGAAATTTGATGTAACTTCTTAATGGTCGTGTTGATTAGAAGATGACAGTACTAACTAAATTTAGCAAGAATGTTGCAAGTCAATAAAATCTCTATTTTCCCCCTATTTTACTTTATATTTAGTAAATGATACTAAGGAGGAGTAATATATAAGATCTTTAAATCGACAAATAGTTAATTTAAATTTTAGCTAAACTAATATTTAAAATCTTAAAGTTTACTGTGATTTTCACTTTGAGTTTTCAAGAATTTTTGACCTTAGACAATCAAACTTTTATTTTATTCCAGAAAATAAATTATTGGAATTAATTCACCATGTTAAGAATACAGTAAGAAAGAACATGTTATTCAAAAAATAGTATTAGAATACATTCTTTCCTAAGAAATACCTAAATTACTCTAATTCATAATCCCGTTAACTAGATGGAGAGGAACTTTTATTTTTTTGGTAAAAAGCAAACTAATATTATTACTAAAAAGTTTATTATATAATTTGACATAAAAAATAGGAATTAGCGAAAAAATTGGTCTCGTAGCTAATAGTATTTTTTTAATTTGTCGCTAATTCATTGCTAAATAAGATTAATAATAAATTTTATTGTTTAGCTGTATATTTTGTCTGTCGCTAATTTTTTTTTTTTTTTTTTTTTTTTTTTTTTTTTTTTTTTTTTTTTGGGGAGGAGGGGATCGGGGGTTCTAGAATATGTAGTGCCTAGAAAATAATTTTCAAACAAAGGTAAAACAGAAGAAGGAGATATATGATAGGTCACTAAGCATTTAATATTTTAGGTTGTTTTCATGCTTACCTAGGTAATCTGCTACTTTATTGACTAAATAGGTTTAATACTCATCTTTTCTAAGAGCTTCTATTATTTTAAAAAAAGTTTTGTAACTTACTCATATTTTTTAATATATTTAGTAATTTTTAAAATTTTTGTATTTATTGATATAAATTCTGCGCGCATCGCACATAATTTTTTCTAAGAATAAAAAATCAATAAAACATGCTTTGAAATAAGTAAAATTTTCAAAAAATCCAACTTAGTTGTACCAATACTGATTTGACAGAATGAATGAAAAAGTACATCCTCCGTTCACTTTTACTTGTCCAGTATTCCAAAAATAAATTTTTACCTTTACTTGTCACTTTTAGCATTTGAAGAAAAGATAATTTCTTTTTTCCTGTTATACTCATGATGACGTCCAAATCCACTACTAAAACGTAAATGGATACGGTCGCGTGCAATATAATTTACTCAACTATGAGTCGGGGTCGAATCCCACAGAGAACAATATGTAGGCGATTATGAATGTAAGAGAATTATCACTTGTTATGCAATGCCAAACACTCTACCCAGACCCCACTAGTGTTATTCTCTCCTAGCCGAGAGTCTGCCGGAAATAGTTTCCCTACCCTTTTCGGAGTAGGAGTAAGGTCTGCGTACACTCTACTCTCCTCAGACCCCACTAGTGAAATTTTACTGGGTATGTTATTGTTGCTGTTGTATGCAATGCCAAACACTTAGAATGGTGGTTGTGAAAATATTATAGCTAAATGCGAAAATGTAAACTAACCTTGAAAGGAAGTAAAATAATCAATGGCTACAAGTATGGATACACGGGGAATTACACCCAAGTAAAGATCCAATATATTTCACAATTTTACAAATATGAGCGAGTTTATGTTAATTAGTCTCGGGTAATAATTCTATATTAGCTTCTTCCAAAGACTAATAAGACTTCCTAATTGAATTATCCTTAAATCAATTAAGAGATTAAGCACACCCAATTATAGCTACAAGTAGTTCAATCCTATCATTAGATAGAATATATAAAATGAGGGTTAAAGCCTCAAGTTCTTATTAATTAATCTTTCTCATCCCTAAATAATCTTTCTCAAAATTAATTCGAAGTTAATAGGTGAGTCCTAGGATTAGCTAATCCCTTTGGAAACATTAAAGAACAAGAATAATTAAAGAAACAATAACTCACTTCATAAAAGATAAAAAATTATTCAATACATAAGCACAACAAGATATTTAATCCACACTTTAAATATGAATATTTTCATAAACAAGATTCAAATGTTGAAGTAAATACTACACACTTAGATATACAATACAAAGCAAGGAAATGAATAAATGAGTAAGAAATTCTCAACCAAAAGTTTCAAATCTTCAAGACCCAAGTGTGTGTGCAAGAACCCTAGCACCAAAACTTGTTCTCTCTAGTCTTAAGACAAAAAATTAAGGCAAAGATTTGCCAAAGATACGCTAGATCGTGTATTTATGGGTTTGGAGTTGAGAAAATGTGAAATGTCATTCCTGCCCAGATCTGAAGCCCGTTGACCGCACCTGCGGAAGGATCCTGACAGGTGCGGCTCCGCAGATGCGAACAATGAAGAGAAACTCTGGCTCCACAGATGCAGACTTGCAAGCGCAAATGCGCAACTGCAGAAGCGGTTCTTCCCTCGCAGATGCGATCCCAAGCAAGGTGGCTCAATTCCACAGATGTGGACCATTTCCTCGCAAAATGCGAGGTCGCTTCTACGACCCGTATTTCGCAGATGCGAAATCACTGAAGAGATTTGCATTGTTTCAACCATTTTTTGCTCAATTTCACTTAGCATCATTTACATGAAAAATAATAATACACACCATAAACATCCTCATATTATAATTAAAGGACATAGAAATTAAAGAAAAGAGACTAGAATGAGTGGTAAAATCATCACTCATCAACCCACATTATTAATTGCTCATTTCAAATTATTTTCTCAAATTCATTAAAAATATGCATCAATTAGTATGTGTATCATGATAAATTATGTATTTCATTTATTATTTCTTAAAGGATGTACAAAATTCATAATGGACAAGTAAAAGTGAACGGAGGGAGTAGTATTTCTTTTCTTTAAAGTTCTAATTGAGTCAGTTTAAATTTGATTTTACCCATGGCAGCACACATATTCTAACAGTACATTTTGGCGCGAAACCTACGCACAAATCCCAAAGTTTTTTAAGTATAAATTAATTTTACTTTATATAATTCTAATAAGTCAAGATATATGGCAACACTGGGTAGCAAATGACACACGCTTCTGTAAAATAAATAAGCAAGAAGAATAAGTATACTTTATTTTAATCATGAATCTATTTCTAATGCCTAGGTTAAACAACTTTGTCATTGCATTTAAGAATTCTCAATTCTCCGGTGAGTTTCTCAATTTTCTTTTTTGTTGGAAAAATTCCCTTTTCTACTTTACTCTTTCAATATCAGATCTTTTTAATTTTTCTCTGATATGATCTAATTTTTCCATGATATGGCATGTGATGTGGTCTGATTATTAAATTTTGGGCTTTGCATATTGTGATTTTTGCAAGCTAAGACTTCAATCTCTGGAAATCAGGCTTTTACATTTTCGTTCTTTATTTCACATTCTTGGGTCCTTATTTTGATTTATTTACTCATGCATGTTTCGAAAATTGATACCTGAGCGCATAATTTGGAATAGTAGATAAATACACTTAATCTCAAAAGTAATTACTACTTCAAGATTCCTACAGCTATATTAGAAGCAGCAATTGAGTGGGACGAACACTGAACTAACTGATTGTGCAAAAGGCAATGTACAATGTACTGTAAGCGCTGGTCCATTTTATTGGTAGTCAAGACTTTTTCTATAGACACAATTCGTGTCAATTGAATTGCTCTCTTCTTCTAGAGTTTCAAAGAGAGAGAAATCTGTGGGCGTGGAGCTTAATCCACTAGATGTCTTAGTTTTGGTGTTCTTCGTGTTCAGACTTTTCAATGACAAAGCTATTTTTTTTCTTTTTGTCACTCATTCTCTATATTGCCTTTTGGTTCTGCATTTATATCAAAATTTCTCCAGCTTTGCCATTAATTAGCATATGTGGATTCTGAGTTCTGCGTAGTTCTTCTCAGCTCTTTCTTGAAAATTGCTATCTAGAACAAAAATAGTAATGACAAAGGGAAGAACTTTGATGCCACCTGTGTCTGATGAAATCTCCCAGCAAAATGAGGGCGTCTATGGCGTGAAGAGAAATTAGCTCCAAAAATTAATCGGTTGATAGTACCAATAATGGCTAATGAAGCTCAGTTACAGACTTCGCTCTATTTAATGGATCCTATGCTTTTGTCTCAATATTTCTTACTTTACTGTCTACAAGGAGTTACCAGCTAAGTGTAAAGTGTTTCTAGATTTAATTTTATTTGATGTTCTTTGAAAATTGTATTCCATTTGCTTGCATGTGTATTTCTATTGCAGTATGACTGCAAATTAGATATAACTGTAAGAATGAGTAGAAAATTTCTCATGTGATATCTTTTTAATTTAGAATTCTTTCAAACAAACTGAAAAAAATTATCGTATGTCAGGAATTCCTGCTTCCAGAGGATTTATTTTCTATGTGATCTTTTAACTTCCATGTAATATGACTTATTGAGGAATTTTTTGTGAATGTTGTTGAATTCTTTGATATTACTGTGAAATTAGCAGTGAAAATAAAGGTTGAAACTCAAGGAGCCGGGAGCCATAGTGCAAATGAAAGATTATAATTTTGCTCATATGGGAAAGGAATGTTGATTATGGCATATATTAGTTAGACACATCTTATGATGAAGTAAGATCCTTATCTCTTTGGATTTTTAAAGTTTACAGTCTGCATTTGGCTGACATTCATTTTTAATATAAGGGATACCAATATAATTTTATATGTTCGTTCTGAAATGAACCTTGAATTAGCACCCATGACTTTCTTATGTCACTATTTTTGAATCCTGAATTAGCATCCATAACTACCTTTATTTGGCATATGATGTTTGTGGAATGTGTTCTTGGTCCCATATTGATAATTTGTTTATGCATGTAATTGGAAAAGTAGCCATTATTTCACATTAGCCTCATAAGATGTTTGACTACCGTACTCTAAATGCTTGAGCTTATTAACTTGAAGAATCATTGTTTCTAAAGGAATGGTTCATGCTTGATGAGCCATCATTGGAATTTACTTTATCTGCTCTTTTTACTGCGTATATTTTGCTTGCCATATTACAAACAACTATTCGTCGATTACTGAATACCTATTGTTTATGCTGGATGTTTCTTGTGGAAATATGATTAAAAAATAACTCCTATATGTGACTGAAATATTAATGTTTTTGCCTTTTTTCAGACAATTGTTATGGACTTAGATTCAAAAGACAAGTATAGAGTGAAAGCAAAAAACTGATCAATGCTTTTAGCGAATTAACATAAAAATACATCTATTTATTTTTATTTTGTGCAATTACAACTCATATAGTCTTGAACACTTTGTGAATATTTTTCTACCTCTACAATGACTACTGCATTTAAACCAGCTCTCCTTTCCCTTTGTGCTCCATTATGATAGAAAAGATTCCTAATTCTTGAGTCTTGCAGTAAGGGAAGCTGAATACTTCAGCTGAAAAATGCAAATGAGGAGAGCAATAACATGACAAATGCCTCGAGCACCTGCACAATTCATCACCATTGTTATCCCATAAATACTTGACTTCCTCTTTAGCGTACCTGACAGAAAATAATGCAGCCATCAAGCAATGGGAATTTCCAACTCTCCTGTTTGAGGCTTTAAGCGCAGAGCTATCCAAATAAATTTTCTACTGTTGAAGAGGAGGAAATAATTATTTAAGATTAAGTTTTTGCAGCGAAAGAGAGATATTAATTCTGTACAACTGTTGTTGCCAATGTTCTTGCTACTGTAACTCAAGACGGCCAGACTTGAAGAGCTTAGTGCAAGGGTCTTAAAAAACCAATGGAATGCGATCTCATAGGCAATTTCTTATGAGGGCTGGACATTTTCTACCTTTATGAGAGATGAAACAACAAAATTCTGTTATATTTTAGCTTCTCACTTCCTTCACGAAACCTAGATTGGTTTATATATATTTTGTTTTTTGGTTGAATGTAACTATGTTAATTGAGCTTTTTTAAGTGGCAATAAGGAACTCCCACATGAGTACACTACTAAGACTGTTTTAACTGGTTTTTGTTTTTGCTTTCTGCTTATTTGGGGTGAACATACAAAGTTTATTCTATTTGTGCAGTCCATATATTATAGGACTAAGTAGTAAAGCTATATTTTTTAAGGTGTACGAGTTGTTTGGTCATTATGAGTTGTCGATTCCTGCTTTGACATCGTGAAATTGTAGAGGTTTATATCATGATGGAGGAAGAATGAATGGTTATGAGATTATGGAAGGAAGAATTAATAGTATGTTATATATTTTGTAGTTTAAGTTGATTGTTTCTACTTCTGCTTGGAGAAGAGTTTTTCTACTATGTTGTTGCTCAGCTGGCTATGGTGATCCATTTATCACATAAGTAGGAATTGATTTGTTAATCAGCTACGGAAGAAAATCATGTTTATTCTTCTTGACTGATGTTTAACTTGCTGGCGTGGATAAGACAAAAGCATAGTAGGAGTTTCTAACTTTCCTTTTGAGACTGATTGCATATTTGCACAATTTTTTTCATGTTGTATGTTGGGGAAGACACAAATATCGCTTGGTCAAAATATGATATATGCAGGGGAAAGAGTGTGACTCTATACTATGTTCGTGCTGCTTTCATTTGTCAGTTTTTTCCTTTTGTTTAAGAGATATAAAATAATTGCATTCTGTTATATTCAGCTTTACACTATGTACATTTTTTTCATTTCTGCTTAGTATATAACCATGTTAAAGCAGCTCTAGGTGTATCCTATAGATTTCTTCTGGATTGCTAACTCAATATATATATATATATATGCTTTTTAATTGCCTCTCGATATGGTTGGAAAAAGAAAACAGAGAATCATTCTCCTTACATAAGTTTCCAGACGCAAATTTTAACAATTTCTTTAATATTCTACGGGGCTTCAACGTCCAATGGTTGTATGCTAGGATTAGTCGTATGTCGGGCCGTGCGCAGCACGGGCGACCTCTTACTAGTAGTATTTAATTGGTAGTAACCAATTAGTTTTTGTTAATAGAACAACTTGCGACACAATGTTTTACTTGCGCAGATTTTTGCACATAATATAGTGGGACGATCTAGACGGTTGTTTTGAGAGTAATAGTTTTGATCCCCTATTTACTATTTTTTCTGTATCTTTTTCTGCTTATGTGACTTGCCGGGAGGTTTTATTTTTGGTTTCGGAGTGTTTGGGACACTTAGTCCCTAAAACGGAAGCTTAAATCTTAGGATTTTGACCGTAGTCGGAACTATGTGAAGACGACTCCGGAATGGAGTTTCGCCGGTTTCGTTAGCTCTGTCGGGTAATTTTGGACTTAGGGGCGTGTCCGGACTGTGAATTGGAGGTCTGTAGCTGATTTAGGCTTGAAATGACGAAAGTCGAATTTTTGAAGATTTTGACCGGAAGTGGACTTTTTGATATCAGGGTCGGATTCCAATTCCGGAAGTATGAGTAGGTCCGTAAGGTTGACTATGACTTGTGTGCAATATTTAAGGTCAATCGGACGTGATTTGATAGATTTCAGCATCGGTTGTAGAAATTTGAAATTTCAAGTTCTTTAAGTTTGAATTGGAGGGTAATTCGTAATTTTAGCATTGTTTGATGTGATTTTGAGGGTTCGACAAGTTCTTATGGTGTTTTAGGATTTGTTGGTATTGTTGGTTGAGTTCCTTGGGGCCTCGGGTGGATTCCGGATGGTTAACGGATCTTTTTTGGTTTTGGGAGAATGGCTGAAGTTGCTGCACCCGGTGTAATCACATATGCGCAAGATTGACCGCAGGTGCGAGCCCGCAGAAGCGAGCCAAGAGGCACAGATGGGCAGGTATAGCCGCATCTGCGGAGAGGTAACCGCAGAAGCGGATAAGTGTAGAATGGTGCAGGGTTGCAGAAGCGGGTGTTTCTCAGCATAAGCGGGCGCACAAGTGCGAGCCTTGATCCCCAGAAGCGGAGTTTTGGATTTTAAATTAACTCCACAGGTGCGGAGTCTTCGCCGCAGAAGCAAAAATTGGACAGCAGGTGCGTGATCGCTGGACAGAAAAGGCTAAGATCGAGGGTTTTATCGCATTTTCAATTTTGGGACTTTTAGAGCTCGGATTTGGGCGATAATTTGGGATATTTTCAGAGGGAGATTTTGGGTAACGATTATTAACTTATTTATGATTATATTTCACTACTCTATAGTTGATTTCATCATTTAATTAAGGAATTTGGTTGAAAAATTTTGGAAAAAATGGGAGAAGTTCTTCAACTAAGTTTTTGAGTTTTGATTTGGATTTTGACATCGGATTTGAATAATTTTGGTACGAGTGAACTCGTGAGTGAATGAGTGTTCATATTTTGTGACTTTTACCCGATTTCGAGACGTGGGCCCAGGTTGACTCTTTGGGACAATTTTCTAATTTCTTGCTTAAGCCTTGATCTCATTAATTAAATTAGTTTCTTATAGTTATATTTATGGTATGTAATTTATTTTGGCTAGGTTTGGGCCACTCGGAGTCAAATATTCATGAAAAGGCATTGTTACCGATTGATTGAGCTTGGTTCGAGATAAGTGGCTTGCCTAACCTTGTGTGGAGGAACTTCCCTTAGAATTTGGTACTGTTGTGATATGTGAGCGCCGTGTACGTGAGGTGACGCATGCGTACACGGGCTATTTATTGTAAAACTCCGATTTTCAGTTAGTACTAACTTGTTTTATCTTAATTGAGTTATATCAGCATGTGTAGTTATCCTGTTTAGCTTAGTATATCATGTCTACGTGTCTTAAATGCTGTCTGAACTCTGTGCATCATTCTTAGTTGATTTCTTGCTTTCTTCCTTGACTGTACTTAGTCTAAACTGAAGGATTTCTTGTTGTATTGTTATTTCCATTGTTTGTGCTACATATTTACTTTGGCACTACGAAACGGTATTCCAAGAAATCCCCTTGAATATTTATTTTGGAACTATGGGACAGTATCTCGAAAGATCTCCCTGTATATTTATTTTGGGACTACGGAACGGTATTCCGGGAGATCTCCCTACACATTTGCTTTTGGGACTACGAGACAGTATCTCGAGAAATCCCCTACTGTTATTCCTATGTAATGTAGTGTTATTCTTCGGTGATTTCCTTTTTGTTAAAAATTCAGTCTCTTTATTATATTGCGATGTTTTTATTCTGCCTTATTTAATTTATATATACTAGTAAGGGCCTGACCTGACCTCATCAATACTCGACCGAGGTTAGGCTTGGCACTTACTATGTTCCGTTGTGGTGTACTCATGCTACTCTTCTACACATATTTTCGTGTGCAGATCCAGGTACCTCCCGCCAGCCCTGCTATTAGTTGCATACTTACTACTGCTCCGGAGACTTCAAGGTACATCTGCCCGCATCCGCAGACCTCAGAGTCCCCCTTCTATCCCTTTTGATGTTGTTCATCTTTTATTTCTTCCAGTACTGATGTATAGAAACAATTAGACAAAATCTTAGAGGCTTGTGACTTGTGGTATTCCGGGTCTTTGGGAATCTTTTTGCATATTTCGAGAGTTGTTTATTGTATATGCCAAGCGACATATCTGTCAGTTATTTAAATATCTGTTGTAGTTACTTGTTAAAGTTTTGCTTTAATTTATTGTTATTTCTGCAAATGTTAGGCTTACCTAGTCGTAGAGACTAGGTGTCGTCACGACATCTCAGGACGGAAGATTGGGTATCTATCTATCTATCTATCTATCTATCTATCTATCTATCTATCTATCTATCTATCTATCTATCTATCTATCTATCTATCTATCTATCTATCTATCTAATATACTATACTATATTAAATGTAGAAAGCCCCTTAGCAAAATATCGTTCATTTTTTACCCCTTTAAAATAGAGTTCACACTTGTAACGACCCGACCGGTCATTTTGAAAATTTATACTTTGCTTGGTGGCTTGAGGGTATAAGTAGGTCTGCATGATGTATTCTGACTTTTGTGTATTGTCGGTTTCGGCTTTTGATTGATTCAGAATAAGTTTGGAAGAATGAATTTCATGTGTTGAAGCTTTAAGGTGTAAGAGTTGACCAAGCTTGACTTTTGAGTATTTGACCTCGGATCAGAGTTTTAATGGTTCTGTTAGGTCCGGATTGTGGTGTCGGACATATGCCCATATTTGCATTTTGATGTTTCTAGAAGATTTCAACACTATTTGATAAAAGTTTGAAATTTGAAGGTTTGAAATGTTTATAAGTTTGACCGGAAGTTAACTTTGATGATATCCGATTTGAATTAATGTTTCGGGAGTTGGAATGGGTTCGTTATATCATTTGGGACTTGTGTGCAAAATTTGAGTTCATTCCGAGTTGATTTGATATGGTTCGGCACGGGTTTTGGAAGTTGAAAGTTCAAAAGTTCATTAAGTTTGATTTGAGGTGCGATTCGTCGTTTCGATGTTGTTATGTGTGATTTTAGGCAATGAGTAAGTCCATTTTATGTTATGGAACTGGTTGGTATATACGGATAGGGTCCTGAGAGGCTTAGATGAGTTTCGAATGAGGTTCGAATCATTTTGGATCATTTTGGGTAAGGGTGGTTTGTGGTAGGATTCGGTGTGATCGCACCTACGGCTGGTTTTGTGCAGGTGCAGTAGTCGCAGAAGCGGAATTTGGTTGCACATGTGATGAAGGCAAGATCTGGGCTACCTCCACAGAAGTGCGATATTTAACGCACCTGCAACATCGCAGATGCGGGGCAAGGGGCGCAAAAGCGAAGTCTGGCACAGAAGCGTGATTTGTTGTCGCACCTGTGTGTGGGCAGAAGTGGGGCTTATTCCGCAGGTGTGATGGGCGGGGTTTCAGTGATTCTCCGCATAAGCGTGTTTTTGGTCGCAAAAGTGACGCCGTAGAAGCGGCTACTGTTCCGCACATGTGGAAAGGCCTGGGCAGAAGATATAAATCGAGGCCTTGGTCATTTTATTCACATTTTTTAGATTTGAAGCTCGATTTTGGGCGACTATGGAGAGGAATTTTGCCACATGGAT